ACGCAATCGGTTCTTTTCATTATTTCTCTCTCAGCATTAAATCTGTTGGCTTATAACACTAAAAATCGGGTTAAAATACCCGCAGTAGACAAAATACAGATAGCCTATTGTGTTTAATGATAATCAAATGTGAATAGAAAAAATGTTTGAAATGTTGGGGGGGGGGTAAGCAAACGATATCCCGAAAAGCTTTTTCCCTTTCGTTCCTACTTCACTGTTGCAGCTTCAATGTGGCTTCTGGAGATGCTCTGGCTTACATTCATTTGACAAGATGGATATTTCTGTCCACTTCGTGAGTGGTGGCGGCCTGAGCTTTTAAGACTAACTCCACTGCCGGAAACAATGGATTTTCAGATAAAAGTTAATTGCGGTTCTGTCGTCATTCACGTTTATCACCCACTCGAGAAAGAAAGGTCATTCCACAAGATGACCCTTCTAACATGTAGCCTAACTTTCTAAGCCCTTCACACACCTACTTCTGTATGGAAATGTTTCTCGAGATGAGACTAGAAGGACCAGTGAAAGAGATGGCGAGAATATGCCACGTGGTTTTTGTGTTACTGGAACATCACTCCTCGCGGAAAGCGAAACTGGTGACACTCCCGCCTCACGTGACTTGGAACGAGTGTCTGTTCTCACTCCCAATCTTTACGTTGACCTTACTGTTTCTTCGTGACAATGTCTAAACAAAGGGAATTCGTTCATACAGTTTTGTGTGGGTCATAAGAAGAGAACACGTGAATTCAACGGTTTTTACGAAATAATTTCATGCAAACAGCTGTCGAGTTTGGTCGAGAAAGATTTAAAGTTGCGGCACGATTGAGTAGAATCATTTCTGTCTGCCATTTAAAACTCAAGTTATTATTTAGCTACATATGATACTAACTTTCTGCCATAATGGCTCAAAGAACAACAAACTATGCGATGTCGATCTAAAGAACTTAACACCTTAAGAGCAAAACTATGTTTTAAACGTTACCACTTTTCAATCAGTTAGGCTTAACGCTTTGGGATTGTTCTAAAAATTAGCCTTTTCGGTCAATTAGGCTTAACGTTTCGGGAATGTTCTAAAAACTACCATTTTCTTTCAATTACGCTTAATGCTTAGAGAAGGAGAAATATATATGTGGGTGGTGTAGTATTTAGTTTTTTTCTCCAACAGTAACATCTCATTTATAGATTTTCCCACACTACACCACCCACATTTAGTTTACTATACAACAACACGTGCGAGTAGGTAGGGGAATGCGGCGAGTGAGATCGCACTTCCTAACTTGCATTCATATATGTATAAATAGCCTCAGATGTCATCAAAGCCCGAGTGGGCATGCCTTTAGACCTCCAATATTGGCTTCGCCACTCAAATACAGCCAAACCAGTTCATCTAAAACTTTGATTTACCCGATCCTTACAGTTGGCAATGTAAACATAAACATCAGTGCTGACACCTAGAGAACACATTGGGCTATCTACTGTGCGCACCTCGGATTTTAGCGCTGTAATTCCGTAGACTTACCGCTATCCCACAGCTTCTATAAAATGTTATTGTGTGTTAACACGGAGTGTTATAACTACAAACATAAATCCTAAAACAGTTTAGATTTTAAAATAACACATGATAATATAAACATAATTAAACATGCGGCGTGTTAAATTACAACAAGTATATTTCGGACAAGCTTATTGTTATATATTCATAGAAACATGTGTGTTTGAAATAATGATTTAGGACAAGTTTTACAAGAGTGTTCATGAACTACGAACGCCCGCGTAATATATATATATGAAAACAAAGAACAAATTGGGCCCATACAGTTTTAAGCCTCGCCTTTCAGTGTTTTCATTAAAACCATATTATGAACGTCAAACTATCCTGTTATCTCACTGGAGAGTTTTAAGGGCTGTCTACCTCACGTTTGGTACATGACGTGTCATTTGTATCTTTTAGCAGTCAGAGTCAGACCCAGAATCGTGAACAATTGGGTGGTTTTCACGTATTCAAGGAGAGTAGGTGGCGCTGGACATGGCACAACTATCTTTATAAATATGAACAATTATGAAAGATCGTGTTCTTACTTTACTTTTATCATTAATGGTTATTTTTCCAACATTAGAACATAAAGTTTGATTACTATCCTTGTACTAAAATTTCCTAAATATGTCAGTCAAAAAATATTTTCATGAATAATTCATACCACGTGCTTATTAACTTGACATAATAGCTCTGTATTAATATATCTTCTGTTGGATATTCTAATTTTGTCATACTTTAATGCCAGGTTTCCCAAAATGAGTAAGTACGGTACATTCCACACGAAACTAGTACGGTACATTCCTCAGGAAATTAGTACGGTACATTTCACAGGAAACTAGTACGGTACATTCCTCAGGAGACTAGTATGATACATTCCTCAGGAAACTAGTACGGTACATTCCTCAGGAAACTAGTATGATACATTCCTCAGGAAATTAGTACGGTTAGCTTGTTTCATCCTCAACCTACGAGTGGAAGCTGTTGTCGTGTTGAGAGTTGTTTACCATAGCTTGTTTGAACCTCAACCTACGAGTGGAAGCTGTTGTCGTGTTGAGAGTTGTTTACCATTGGTAAATAACTCTCAACACGACAACAGCTTCCACTCGTAGGTTGAGGATGAAACAAGCTATGGTAAACACCTATCAACATGATAACAGCTTCCACTCGTAGGTTGAGGTTCAAACAAGCTATGGTAAACAACTCTCAACACGACAACAGCTTCCACTCGTAGGTTGAGGATCAAACAAGCTATGGTAAACAACTCTCAACACGACAACAGCTTCCACTCGTAGGTTGAGGTTCAAACAAGCTATGGTAAACAACTCTCAACACGACAACAGCTTCCACTCGTAGGTTGAGGTTCAAACAAGCTATGGTAA